TATTAGGGTACCTTAGAAGGAAAAAGGAACTGATCTTTCTCTCTCTCTTTTTAAGTATGATCAAAGCTAATGAAGAGGATCTGATGGAACAAATCTTAAATTTACCAATATAATCCAGAGAGCAAGGTTCAAACAGTGGCTTCCAAAGGGATCTGCTAGGCCAGTTAAATTAAAGGCAGAGAAGTCAGCTCGGAAGGTTAAGGAGTGGAGGCTATGTTTTTTATTCCCCAACTGGTAATACTGAAAGATTTTCCTGAAGGACACAGGGAAATCAAGGGCGCTTTTATATATATATATATTTTTTTTTTTTTTAATTGAGTATTGCATGAGGGACAAAACGGCCAGAAAAGTTGCACCAAGGAATTGTCTTCCATCGTAACATGGCATCTGCTCATTCTTTGAGGGCAGCGAAGGCTGGTCTGTGAGGAACTTGTTGGGAAACCTTATCCCATCTCCCCTACAACCCTCATTTTGCCCCTGGACACTTTTCATTCCCCAAACTCAAAGAACATTTCAAAGGAACATAATTTGAGTCTCCTTGAGGCAAAACTGCCGTCTTGATATAGTTCAAATCAAGAGTGCAGAACCTTTCAGGGAAGGTTCGAGATGGAAGCACTGCCACAGTGTGCAGACCTAAACGGAGACTACACCAATAAAGAGCTTCACATCTTCATGTCTATGGTTTTATAGCAAAACATTTTAACTTACCTACACATACTCATTGAAGACACAGATATGACTATTTCTCAGACATAATCAAATACCTTCCACAACTGGTTTTCTGAGTTTGAAGGCTTAAGACCATAGTCTTATGGGACAACTTAATCAATTGGCATTTTACACTTCACAAAAATCATGATCAGCTTTCCAGGGAAGTGATTAGGATCTTGGAGTCTTAAAAGCTTGTGAACAGCCACCAATACAAGTAAGAGTCTCAAATCGTCAGGAACAAAGCAGGGACGGAGGCAACCAAAAGCACTGGGAAGGATCATATCTCGAAGACCTATCACCTCATCTACGCTGAGACTGGAAGAACCACTCAGCTACTCATCATTCTGCTCCGGGCCACAATAATTGGTTCCAGTTACAATTTTAATAAAAAATTCTTATTTTAAAAAAAAGTCAAGCACACGAACAGTAGAGTACAAAGGACCCTCTGAGACGATCGCTTGGCCAAGATCTTTAAGCCTAGGGCTGACCCTATCACTTGAGACCATCTTTTAGTGGAATAGTGAGTGGGGCGTCCAAGAAAGGGCCATGGCTCTACTTAGAAATCATCTGTAGGAGACCACAAGGTCACCAAGACCTCAGAAGCGAAGATGAGAAGACAAAGGAGCAGGTAACTGCAGTACTCCAAAGGGAACACTCTGAACACAATAAAAGAGTGCTACACAATGTGAGAAACTAGCGAGTGTCAGTCAGCACTGTGTGAGAACTGTCCGAATGAAAAGCCAACTTGTGTGAACTTTCACCAAAAGCTCAATTACTGTTAAGCAGGCCTGTCTTCTTCACACTGCCCGCCAAGAAACCTTGCAGAAAGTTGTTAGCTGCCAACCTGTTGGCCTCAACCCATAGCAACATATGTCTAACAGAATTAAGCATCACCCAGTCCTGCTCTAAGCTCACTGGTGCAGCTACTCTGTCAATCTACCTCATGGAAGGTTTCCCCGAGACGGCTAACCCTCTACTACACATAATGCTATTTCTTAGGGACTGCTCTTTCCTGATGGCAAGTCCAAAATAAACAGGATGAGGTCTCAGCATCTTCGCATCTACAGACGGAGCATTCTGGCTGTCCTTCCTTCCAGGCAGATCTGCACACAATAAGTACCAGAAGTCCCCAGGTTACCAACAGGAGGCTTTGCTGACTGCGTCTTTGTAGGTAAATCAAAACAGGTACAGATGGTTCTTGTTTAGCTTTACTTTAGTGAAAAATAATTTAAAAGCTGCACGTATGGAAAATGGAGGTAACTATGGTGGAAACTTTGTACAAAGGTTGGTTTAATCATTTCAAAGTGAGAGCACATTTACACATTAAAGGACATGACCAAATGCCCAGAAGCTGGATGTTTGTTACCCAGGATGTTGTGTAATGTACACAACAATAAAAAATAACAATTTATAAATAATCAAGGGCTCGAGAGGGAGAGTGGGAAACAAAATGAGGAGCTGATGATACCAAGACTCAAGTAGAAAAAAAATATTTTGAAAATGATAATGGCAAAAAATGTACAAATGTGCTTGACACAATGGATAGATGGATGGATTGTGTTAAGAGCTGTATGAGCCCCCATAAAATGATTTTTTTAATGTATCCAACAATAATTTCTGTAAAGATAAATTCCTGTAGTCCGTCTATAGCATATTTCAAGAGCATCTCTCCTCTTACACCCATCCTTCACTGTCTCCACTCACAATCGCAGGACTTACATACACAGTCATTCAACAAATAATTATTGATTACCTGCCACCTTCAAGAAACTAAATTGCCTAGTCTGCGTCCCTCTTACCGCAAAACATATTCTTATTTCAGCTTCTTCTACTTGCATCTTTTCATAGTTCTAAATTTCTAGTTATTTTTTCTTCCTTTCTATATCTAATCACATCCCAGTACCTTCTTTTTAATCTTACTGCTATCAAACTAATCAAGCCCTTCTTAATGTCTACAGTAGACTTCTAACTCTTCTCACCCCCAATCTTATTCTACCACCACCTAGCCCCAATCTAGCCTGTGTGCTACAGCTACCATCTGATTAAGTCATCTATCAGAGATAACCATTGGATTATTTCCCTGTCCAAACAAAACTCAATAACTATACATTAATGATGTGTTAACACATTTCAATTATCAAATCGCCACAATAATCCTTACGAGGAAGGCAGACTGATGAATCTCCTGGTGAGAAAACAGAGACCAGGAAGGAAGAAACGCTCTCCCTAATCACAGAACTGGGTAAAAGAAGGGTCGAGAGTAAAATCCAGCTCTATTTGCTTACAAAGTAAAATACAGCATAACGTCAAATATAAATCACTTGTATTTCTTTCAAAGTCATCCATTTTTTAGCCTTATCTTATATAACACTTACATAACTCTGTACTCTAGTCATGAACATTCTGTTTTCCAAACTATACCTTATGACCAATTATTTAGTTGGTCATGAAATTAGTCTAATGAGTTCTATTTTTTTCCTCATCTAGTTGTTTTTTTAACAAGGAAATCATGCAGGTGAGCCCAACAGTAAGGAGAGTGTCTTGGTTATCTACCGCAGCTGTAACAGAAATACAAGTAGATGGCTTTCACAAACACAAATATATTCTTACAATTTAGCAGGCTAGAAATCTGAATTCAGGTGGACACCATCTCTAGGGAAGGCTCACTCGCTCTCTCTCTTTCTCTCTCTCTGTTCTAGGAGAAGGTCTTTGACTCCTTTCAAAACCTCTGGGCCCCAAATTCCTTGGAGATCCCTGTATAACGGCATCAATCCTCTTCCGGGTCTAAGATTCTCAAAGGACTAACACTCTGCTCTGGCTTCTTCCTGGGTGGTCCTGAGGTCCTTCCCCACTTTGCTCACCATTCTCTGCATAGGCCGTATTATTCATGGAAGTAGAAAGCCCAGTCTTTCTCTCTTGGAGCTGCTGGTGGTGGTTTCAAACTGCCAACCATGCGATAAAAGCCCACTTAACCACTACAGCACCAGGGATCCTTGATACACCCCAGAGAAATTCCCCTTATGTCAGATCAGAGCTGTGACCTGAGTAAGGGTACTGTGCTCCACATTGATCTCTTTTAACTTACTGCCATTGAGTTGATTCTGAGTCACAGCAACCCTACCGGGCAGAGCAGAACTGCCCCTGTGAGTTTCCCAAACTCTAACTCTTTATGAGAGTTGAAAGCCTCATCTTTCTCCCCGAGATAATGGTTTTGAACTGCTGACCATGCAGTTAGCAGCCAAATGTATAACCACTATGCCACAAGGGTTCCACTGATCCTTTTACAACTAATTGGCTAATTGCTTCTTGGGAGATAATTGTATTATTACATGACTACCAAACCACTAGGAATCACAGTCAAAATCAGTTGACCGATATGGATACAATTCAATCTATGACAGACAGGCACAGTTACCCATGTAAATATTAGGTGAAATAGTCCTGGTGGCACAGTAGTTAAGTATTTGGCTACTAACTGAAATATCAGCAGTTTGAACCCACACCTCTCTCCCGAGAAGTTGCTGATTGGCAGTTTGCCTTGAAGCTTTGGACACTATTGGGCAGCTATGAGTCAGAATATACTCAATGACAACAGGTTTATATTTATGGAAGAAATACTTATCTTAGTGTATAGCATGGTAAAAAACATGATTAAAAAAGAATTTAAGAATTGAAAATTTTAAGATACCCAGCATATCCTTGGATTCTTACTTCCAAGAATTTGCTTATGCTAAAATACTCTTTCCAATAATCTCTGCAAATTGGAATCCCACCCATCCCTTCATGTGCCATGTCTTCTCTGAACTAATGTCAGGGAAATTTTATCCTAGCCAAATGTATTTCTGATGCAATCATGATCATCGTGGTACTTGTGCACAAGTCCAGCTCCCATATTAGAGTACAAGTATCAAAGGATGATGCCATTTCATGTTTCCTGACTACATGTAACAGGGCGTTGGCAACATCTGCTCAACAATGAAAAAGCATCCTATCCTCTTCTGAAATCCTGTTAAAAATCAATGCTGCTAAGAGCATTTCAACTTTATTCCCAACTTCAGTTACCAACTCTTACCTTTCAGACAGCCTCACCATCTCCCTTCCCCAAACAAACCTCACAAATAATCCTCTTTAACATCAAGCTTCTCATTTTCCTATAAACATAACCTGTTGCATTTCAATAATCTGTTCCTTCCTTCAGAACCATCCTATCAGATGTCTTTCTTCTCAATATGTGTATCTTCCACTTCACTCCTACTTCTCTACAACCCACAATGATAGACAGAGCTTACAGTCTTTAAACAGAGCACTCTTTCTTCCCTCGTCTTCTCTTGTACTGGACTGCTTCAATTACTTCTATTCACGTAGAGTGGATATATTTTTGCTTGCCCCATGAAGTCCTTTGCAGAACAAGGCTGACTGTGAACAAACAGAAAACGTATATGCCCAGGAGCAGATGCCACATCTCTTCCCCACAGAGCAGGCGGTGCGTTTGAACGGGAGACCTTCATGTAAAAAAAAAAAGAAAGAAAGAAAAGAAAACGTATATGCAAGTCAGATCCCCTTAATTTTCTTGGAGACCTTCTAATTCATTCAATTCCTCAAGACGCTGGTGTCTTCTGGACACACGCCCTCAGTTCTATCTATTCTAGCCTGTAATTCAGAAAGCAAATTTGAGAAAAGCATGCAGGAAAATGCCCGAGTTATAAAGGAGCCAAGTTGACTCATGATTTTCGCTCAGACCAAGCAATTTGTGGGGTACAGGCTTAGAGAGAGGCAACCTAAGAGTTATACTAGACATGGTGGAAATAAGATACCACAGTTGTCCAACTCAAAACCTACCCAGCAAATGTGAATCTGAAACAGAATAAACCAGTAGGAGCGGCTAAAATGAAACAGGCTGAAAGCCTTCAGTCAAAAACAGACCCGGACTCTAGGTTCATTCTAGGGCTGCAAGAGAAATCTGGAGCCAGTTAGTTCCTTCTCTGAGGTCCCTCAAGAATCCTTTCAAATGTCTAGCTGAAGTATGGTACCTAAATCCTTTCCCCCAAACTTTAGCTAGTAATCACCTCGCCATCTCTTAACTCCTACACAACTTACTGTCTGTAAAACTCAATTGGAAACTCCAGAAACTACCTTATTCAAGGCAATGAAACTATTTTATAGAGAAACATGCTCAAAATTTATTTATATATTCAACTCATTGTGGTCCTTTCAAAATATTACCTTGAGAAGCTACCACTTAAAAATTTACTCATTCCACCTGTAAGGGTTTTTGGGGCGCGAAACCCGTCCGCAAGCTTCTCAATAAAGCCTGCTTCTAAAACTTTACCAATTGGATCTTTAATTCTGCTTCGCGCCCCAAAAACCCTTACACCACCCATGTAACCATCTGACACACTCATTTACATGTGAAGCTGCCGTCACTGCTCAAAATGCTTCCAGTGTCTTCTTTGGGAGTGCCTTCCAAAGCCAGTTAATAAATCGACCTAGAAGGTCATTCTCATTCTGAATTAAAACTAAAACTACTCTTCACTCACTCTAGAATTCCATTCACTTTAAAACTCAACGTTGACTACTTTCCCACATTTCTAAAAATGAAATCTTTCCAAAGTAAGAGAATGGCCTGTATTATTGTAAAATGTGCTATCAGAGAAGGACTCTGGATTCCTGGAGAAGGATGCTTTACTTGTCTTTATTGAACCCCTTCCCCAAGAGCACACATTACATACTGAATAAGGAGGTTTAGAAGGTAATTCAGAAACAGCATTCAAAACATATCCTGAATATTGGTAGCATTAGTGAAATAAATGTGGAGCTACTGAAGATGACGACTATAATATAAAAACGCTCATCTTGAGTAATTTTGATTTTAAAAATCAATTTGCCTAATATCTTACACTGTTAGGGAATTAGTTCACAATTGTCTCTCTCCCCAAAAAAAAAAATGTAAACAGTGAAATACCTTGTGGGAATAAACTTCATCTATTACTTTTTTATTATTCTACACATGAATTACATCAGACAGATCCTTAAAGCAGCTAAACATTTGAGTCATTTTATGCCTGAGTTAAGAAAATCCAAATCTGCCTCCCACCTGATTGACTCTAGATTAAACTGGGTTCAGATTAGAACCTCTGGGCCGGCCTGCCGCTTCCAGGTGTTTGCAGGGTTGCTGCAATTCCATTCTAATCCATTCTGTCTTCTTCTGACCCTACACATGGCTTCTGAAGCTTTAAATCTTTACAGGGACAAACAGCCTTATCTTTCTCCCCTGAAGCAACTGGTGGATTTGAACCACCAATCTTGCAGCTAGCAGACCAATGTTTACCTGACAGTGCTCAACAATTGCACACAGTGCGACAAACATTGCTAACAGCACACACTACTCTCTAGCAGTCACTCAACAGGTATTTATTAAGCATTTAAGAATCAAGCTGCTGCCAGAGATTAAACCGCCTCCACAGCCCATTGCAATTGAGTTACCATTGGTGAAACAAAGAAAGAAACCAACTCCGAGAAGCATATACAAGAGTTAGTAGCACAGGACTTACACGGGAATGCTGTGTCATTAATCAAAGTGAACCAGACCCTCAAGAGCTGAGGTCACACAAGCCTGATTTCCAAAAATGAGAGGAGAGGCTGGAGCAGCTCCATAGCAGTGGGTTTTTGGTTTGGCAGCTTTACATTCTCAGTATCGGTCACTTATTGGTGATGTTGCCTCTCATGCACAAATTTCAAAAGCACCAATATTTTATGACTCTGTTGTAATACAAGGGAGTTTCAAAGGGTTCATGGGAAAAAAATTTTATCCATTAATTCCACTTTCCATATACTTTTTAAGTCCTCTGGTATGTGAGCAACATGCTTTTTCTACCATATCCCCCACATATTAAGTGATTTAAATGTGCTTATTCCCTTACAGCTGTGTCAGAATCAACTTGATGACCGTGAGTGTGCCACCAATCTGTCTTATCACTGTAATTTCCATCACCTCCACATCAACTAGATCCAAATGCCCTCAGAATCCCTTACCATTTCTGCAGCCTGCCACAAAATTATCGCCACCTTCATCATTCCCCATCCCCCCCCTCCTCCTTGTCCTCTCCCTCTTATCACATCCCCCTCCCTCCCCCAAAAAGAAACACTCATGCCCACACCAGTGGACTCCTTCCTGAACACAAGAATTGCCACCAGAGTCGGCAAAGAACATTCAAGGGCCACTTTAACGAACTCCCAGACTCCCCATTAAACTCTCCAAGAGGCTGTCAAAGAATACTGCACTCAATAACTAATTTCTAGAAACTCTATCTCATATCTAACCAGCAACCCTTAGGCTGCAAAGATGTTGTTTCCCACATGGCCATCCTTAGAGGTCCATCCATCAAACTTTCCTTTATCACCTGACTCACTTTTTCCAAATCTGATTAAACGCTCTATTCAGGAAAGTCCTCCCTAGTCTAATCATCATCCAATACAGTGGAGAAGTCACTTGATAGGACCTAAGGTTGTTGGAATCTGAAATCAAGGCATAAACGTTCATACACATTCAAAGAAATAAAGGCATCCAATAAGGACACTAAAGTAATAACAATCAATTATAGGAAAGGAAGGAGACAGGGCATTGAGTGTCAGTGCCTTAACACATTTTTATTCATAGTAAAGAATTAAAAGATGTCATTTTGATAAACCAAGGAATAATAATATGTGCATAGTACTTACAGATTTGGAGAATAAGAAGTACAGAAATCAGTGCTTACAAGAAGTAGCCTCCAGGAAGTGGGACTGCAGTGAACAGGTGGGACAATGGCTGGCATTATTCATTATAAGCCCCCCAGAGGACAATTTCATTTTTTTAGCTAAGAACGCACATTATTTCATAATTTAAAGGAGGGGGTACAATACTGACATACTATTTTTAGGCCCACTAAACTTACAAAATTATAAGGTCTGATATTATCCAATGAGGAAAGGGAAGGAAAACAGGCCTTCTCATACTGGGACGGCAAAAGGAAGAGGTCCATCAATACTCTCAAATAAAACAAAGCCCTTACAATGCAGGAGACAATCTAGATGTACTGATTCAGAAACGTTTCCAAATTATTTTATAACACTCCTTAATTCTATCCGTTTTTAATATTGTTCGATTATAACCCACCCCCAGCCCCTCTAAGTCAGAACTGACTCAATGACAATGAATTTGGTTTGGTTTTGGTGTTTTTTGTTTTTAAGAAATGTACTGGTCTTTGCTAAATGCACGACTGATTGAATTTGCCCTTTCCTCTTCCACATCTTTCTTTTCATCTTCCCCATTAAGCTCTCTGCCCTCTACTTTCATTTTAAAAAAATTCTCCTTCTCAACATGCTCATTATTCTCCTCAACTTAAAAGCACTACGATGTAATGTGTGTATACAGTCTTTCCTAATTAACAGGTGAATGATTTTCCAGGAAACTGAAGGACATGGTTTTAGCCCAGGGTCCTCTCTTGGAAGTCTGGTCCAATTTGAACTCAGAAAATCCACAAGAACTTGGTTTACTTCCTGAGAGAAAGATGCTATAATCCTCCCTCCAAACTGACACTGAGAATCATCCAGTCTCTCTAGGAGCTCCTAGACCTCAAGATAACCAAAGCTAATCCTGACCTCCTTGCAACCTAAGCCCACAATAGATGCTCTGCAGGCCCACACTTGCTGATGCATTCTCTTCCGTTTCACCATGCCTCAGTGAAGGAGTACATCAGGAACTGTGACAAAAGATCTTCCACCAGCCCTGGAGTTAGAGAACCAATCTAGCAAATTAGATGAATGTGAGCGGCACACGGAGCCTCCAGAGAAAGGCCACCATTCAAGGACCTGGGCTGACTAATGCAACACCAATTCTCCCGGACCAGATTAGCAGCAGGGCCATGAAGACAGCTACCAAGCCAAATTATTTGCATTCTAGCATCAGTCGGGGGCAGCGTTCATCCGGTCTTTGGTAACGTCTTCAAATTTAGAGATCTCAACTACTTGTCCCAGAGCATCCCTGCAGCACCCAGCCCTTCCTTGCCAGGGCTCTCTCAGAGGTGATCCTATTCACTGGTGTAGGTCTAAAATAAAATGTCTCAGATCAAACTATGCACTAAGGTCTAATTCTCAGTGACCCCCCAACCAAAACCAGGACCCGCACTTACCAGATGTCATCTACGGAAGCACCCAGACAGGTTCGGAACTATGTCATTCTGGCCCAAGTGAAATAACTCTTTAGTCCTTGGGCCAACATTTATCAATTAGATCATATCTGTCTAGTTTATCCTGCTTTCCCGTCATCTTCTCAAATATTTAGCACTCCCGTTTGCTTGCGGTGCTATCCTTCCTATTCGCGGAAACTCCATACACCCCAGCTTCCTTTCCTTAGGGAGGTTGCAGCCCTTCCCATCACG